TTAAGGTAGAGGAGCGAATTATTGGAAACTAGTATATTTAAGTTTTAGACGACGGAGATAGTTTGAATTATGATTTTTACTGCATGATCTGGTAATACGGATTTTAAGCGTGTTTTCAACCTTTGAACCGTGGTTCTGTTAATCATTTAAAAATACAGTCATGATGACATTGAAACTGGTGCTAGGAAGAGAATGCAGCTCTTAATGGAGCGCTGCATTTAGTACATAACTGGTTTGTTCAGACGATTAAGTTTGGACAAATTGATTTAAAGCACTTGTCTGAGATTTTTAGGCTAAGTAGGTGCTATTGGTTCATTTCGTGATAACTGACATAGACGCAACACTGTTTCGATTGGTTGAAAACAAAGATGTACGGGACATTTTTTGAAATCTTTTATGACATGTTTCTCTTCCAAAATAGCTAACATTAGAAACAATTAGGACAATTATGTCTTTGATACAAAACTGTTGGCAGTTTATCTGAGACATGAATTGGCGCAAGTGTACACACATTAAACAATGGTCTTTTGTTCACAGTGATCGTGAAAACAAAGGTGAAGTATTAAAGTTTGAAACTAGTATTACATTTTTACGGAATCCGAAACTGGCACTTTAAAAGAAAAAAAGGGAAAACACATTTATTGCACGTGCATGAGTGTTTTTTTAGTAACAAGAGCTCATTAAAAAATATAGGGGGGGGACACAGGATTTGTGACAAGCCCGAGCTAAAGACCACAGTGGTTTAACACACTAAAGTCTTGAAATGGACTCCTTTTATAGGAAAAAATCTCTCAAAGCCTCTGGCATCGTTCTGCAGGCTACAGGAAGTTGCGCAACTATAAAAATGAGCGCACAGACAATTGTAATTGGACAAGGAAAAATATAACAAAGTTAAAATTACAGGCCTCTTGTGTATGTTATATGTTTGTGTATGTTATATGTTTGTGTATGTTATATGTTTGTGCGTCATGTCCAATACACTACGTTGACCTTACAAAAATGGACCAATACTAACGTGGGGTGTTGTGAGTGTGTTGTGGAGTGAGAGGAGTGCTGAAACGGAATCATGGAATAACAAAAGTTTTCTGTAATGTTTTAATGTGATCATGGAATAATTATTTTTTGTCAACAGCAATACGGTGTAAAAGTACTAGAGATTCAAAGATGACAAGCTTTATTGAAACAGGTGTAAAAAGTGAGAGTATCTGGGATGAGTACTCTGAGCAAAGTACTCTGCGGAAAGGTACTCTGAGATGAAATACCACGTGAAGGTACTGGGAGCCCCTCCCTCTGCTGTTTGTCCGGACAGTGATTCGGTCCAACCGCAGTGGCGGTCATTGGGAGGAGGACAACGTTGGTTTGTAACTCACATTTAGGGGAGTGTAAAATTAGAAACATACATATTGTTAAGTCTGTATTTGGCTACAGCCTCTGCCCTGATGTGCACACACCGTCTGCTCAATGCAGTGTTAGTTTTGCCCAATTGGATTGATTGACAGGCGCACCATGCGAACGAGAGGAAAAGGGGCGTTTTCTTGTGTTCTAATGTTTGTTTTTCAGATGAAGATAAACTGCACCTGCTTAAGGGGATGACAGTAGTATGAATTAAGGAAATGAGCTCTACTTTGGCATCCAAAGCCCACAATATGAATTGAGGACGATCCGGGAGGAGCAACAGATTGGACCAGTAATCTACACACACATACAGATGCATGTTTTATACTTTGGACACGACCAACAGAGGGGAGTATTGTATTGTCATAGGTGGTCATGGTCCTTAACCTTCTAAATCATTAGAAAGAAGTGTAAAACATATATTACCAAGAACAATAAATAATAGAAAGGGCGCCTAAAAGCAAAATGGGAAAATTATTAAGTAATTTTCGGAGTTGCCAAAATGAAATAAATATTCTATATTTGTCCCATAGGGGGTCATTCTAAATTTAGTGTTGTGCAAATTCAAAAGGAGAAATAATAGCGCATATAACAATCAACAGATCTACTCTTTAAGATAATAGACTCATATAATAATAAGATAATAATAGACATAGAATGAATAGTTCTGGAGCTATAATGTCATTGGATTCGAGGAGCTATAGGTTGAAGTGTCAGAATAAACAATAGTAATAATAGTTAGACTAGTGAATACATCAAAAATAGTTCTATTGTGGAAATAAGTATCAATAGGTCAAATTGTTTCTAATAACTAAAGTAAAAAGGAATCAAATGGAGTCCGCTTTTAGATGTTTCTGTTTTCCACTCTGTAGGAAACTGGTGCAGAGTGTGTTTATAGAAGTAGTATTAAAATGCAGACATAGAAATAGCTAACACAAATATAAACATTGCTCTATAACGCAGCCTCTGAGCTGCTCCATTGGAGAACAGGTTAAATGTTATTGTTTATTACAAACAGCTGATGTATTTACACACATTAAGTTTGGGACAACTCTTTAAAACAGTTATAAGCAGCGGACAGAAGCCATGAATGTGCTTTTGTTTATTAAATAATTAATTTCATAGCCTTATAATCGTAGAGAACGTTTAAAATAGTTAAAATCCCTTTCAGGCAACTTGATTTAGATGTATGTCTTAATATTGGAGAACGACTGTGTTGTTTTTGGAATTGTCTGAATATACAATACATAGAATAATGATTTGCAGAACAAGAACCGGCCAATAAAAAATCGTCTATTGCCAATGCAATTGTTACAATCAGACTCAAAAATTGGGAATATGCCTTTGCTCAAGCTGCAACCGAGTTTTAGAGTCACAATAGAGTGTAAAATAGATAGATGCTTTCAAAAATAGAGATTATTTTTAGACAGGGCTAATATCAAACGGTAAAAAGACCATTTCCTTCATATTATGTCCAAAAGTATTTACTTCAAAGGTAGATGAAGTTCATTACAGTTTATGCACAGGTTTATTAGATACTGTCAAATTCGCTTGTTTCAAACATAGGTGAATGTTAACAATGCCAAAAGTTAATGAGATAGATTAGAAACAACAGAGATTCAAAAACATTTAAAAGCATTTTAATGTATTTGGGTATAGCACAAAAGTAGATATTTAGGTATTTTTTGAGAATTTTAAGAGCTGTCGACTTGTCAATATGGATTAGAAAATCGAATACCATGGTAGAGTAACTGATCCCAAAAAAACCTGCTAAAATAGATTAGCTCCTGTACGGATAATACCAATTTGATTAACGATGTACATTTATCCCAAACGGTCTGAGAGAAGGAAGTGACAGCACTTCCTGGTTCAACAAAATGTGTTTGGAAAAATGAGCAAAGCCCCACAAAATGGCACAGAGCCACTGATAATGACAGCAAACCACCGTATAGATAGATTTATTAGATAAAAACATATGTTTAAGAATAGGGCTCAATAAAAGCAAAATATGCAAACATATTTGTAAATAGATTAGAATAGTTTAAACTATAGTGAATAGTTTTAGTGCATACATTACAGACGAGGTTGAAGAAGAATCAGAATGACAGCAGTGGTCATCAAAGAGTTTAGTGAAGGAATGTTTCAATGTGGTTGTGTGTTGTTTGTCTTTCTGTATTGGCTCTTCACAGATATCAAGCCTGAACTAAGCACAAGTATGGATGATAACGACGATGTGGATTGTGACCTGATTTTTAATCAGGTCAAAAGAGGGAAACTGTTGCATAATTAAAAATGTTGTATACTAATGATTTTGAAAATAGGCCCTCTGAAGAATGTGCACGGGGAAAAGCCCCAAGGACAAGGATTGCAAACAGGAATAAAGAGGGTCAAATGGAGAAACTACAATCAGTCATAGAGATACCAACTTTCAAAACGGGACAAATTATTAACTCCAGGAATAAACATTCTTGTCTCTCTGGCGAGGCCAAAAGTCCAAACCACCATCTGGCTAATCTCTCTCAGGCAGACTGGGAGATTCTCCAAAGGCATTCTGACGCCTCCCAGTGGACACGGGACGCCAGCACACCCGAAAAGAACATTCGGGAGACGCCCACAAGTGACGTCATCAGACGTCTTGATAAAACTGTTGGTTTGAGTTCTGGGGGGAAGGTTAGCGCAGGGGAAGAGGAGAGGGACATATTAGTTTAGGAGCACTTTTTTGTTGAATATTCTGTATCTGATTGTAAAGATAATTAAATGCAGATGTTAAACTTGGATATCTTCGTCTGATTTCTGTACCAAATTGTGGACACGCGAGCCAAAGGGAGTTATTGGCTTCACTATTCACTTTAAAATGAATATTTTAAGGTTAAGATTTTAAGCTTAAAACTACTTACAAAGAATCTTTCATAATTATCTGCTACTTTGCAGCAAAACCAGAAATGATTGCATATGTCTTTCTTCCACTGCAACAGAATTTTGCAATCCCGCTGTTGGCCAGACTGTAAACAAAGGTCAGCATAAATACAATAAACAAAAATAAAAATAATTTCTACTCACAGCATGTATTCGTTTCCCGAGGTTCTTTGCACCATGCCACATATTGAAGCTATGCTCCACTCCAGAATCTTTATATATTCCAGTTCCTAATTGAAAAAACACATGTGTTATCGTGAAAAAATAACTAGTATTGTTTAGTTTACATTGTAGTGTACTTACTGAAAAGTGCAGAAATCTGGGTATGCGCATCAGTACAAATCTCAGAAATATTGACTTCATTTCTAAGTTTGTCTAAACTATCAATGAATGCCAACTTTCCCATTATGGTGGAATGTCCCTGGGCTTCTCGCTTGTCTTTATTGGCAATATTCATAATCTTTTTACTGCCATTGTCCATCACAGTGTATGTGCAGTATTGGGCCGAAAAACCAGGGCTGTCCATTCTAGCATCTCCTGTGTTTTTAATGTATATGTCAAAATCATTCCAAATGTTTGATTATATACATTTGATTAAAACAAATAAACTTACCAAGTGCAACAACTCTTTCATCCTTCAAACTAGAGATTATGGAAGCTCTTTTCTCTTCCCAAAATTCCTCAATGGTTGTCACACAGTATGCATCTTGAATGGCAAAGAAAGATGTCTGAGCTACTATACCCATGTTCATGTACTTGAACAGAAGGGCGACTTTGGAATAGTTATTTCCACTGAGAAGTATGTTTGTGGCGAGCATGAAATCGCCCGTTTGCATATTGAATTTAAATGTGGGCTGTGAATTCCATTGCCATACTGTATGACCATTGAGACACACCTAAAGAGTATGAAGATGAAAACGTGTGTTAGATATATTGATCCATGCTTATTTTAAAATCCCAATTTGCCCTCATACCCATTTCAGTAGAACAGCGCTTCCCCTTTTAACAAGAAAAACTTCAAATGGTCCAGTGGCTCCACATTCATCTTTTAGAGTTTTTGCTGGACATCTTCTAATTGGCATTTGAAGAAATGTAACAAGCTGCTTTAGGCAGGTGTCATACACAATGGCAGCTTGCTGGCCTACAATGTCCTCTGGGGTTTCAACTCTGATGCTGTTGCATGGTATGGACGGATCATCACAAGGTGGGAGGTGAGGGTCTTGTCCTATGCCATCATACACAATGTCCTCCGCAGTGGCCACAGGAAGCTCATCAATATTGTAGGCAAGTGAAGCTCCAGGTCTGAGCAGAAATGATACAACTGATATATTTTTTATTTATTTACACAATACATTTCAATATTAGTAATTAAGTAATGTTTATTTATACAGCGCATTTTACAGACCAAGGTCACCCAAAGCGCTTTACAATGTTCAGAGTTCAGATATTTTCTCATAGTTTTCATTATACAATGATTGAAATGTTTAAACGCAGCACCTCATACTGTTCTAGCCTCCAAGCATGCGTTTATACTCAAACTGCAGGGCTCCTCTTTACCCCCTTACATAAATAACACTCACCTGATTCGTATTGTTGGTATGTAGTCCGTGTCACTGTCGTCAGACTCACTGTCTTCCTCTCTTGTTTCCTCCTCTGAGGTAGAAACTTCTTCTGTGTCTTTAGATGGGGTCCATGTTTCATCTTCTGTCCAGTCAATGCTGTACACAGAGGGACATCATATTTTTTTGTATTATTATTATTAACTAAGAAAGGTGTACTGCACTGGATCAGATGTATTGATTACACATGTTCATTGGACTGAAAAACTTGTAACAACTTTTAAAAAGGGCTAGGCAGAATTTGATAGTGGCAAATTTCCCGTGACCACTTGTTGCAAAACATTAGCTCTGTAACATATCTTTTGCAGCAAGTGGTCTTACATTTCTTGTATAAATTTTTTATACTCACATTGAATTCTGCAAACTGTTTACCAGGGACGTGCGGTGAGGTTTGTGATTGGGGAGGCACTGACTTTAAAAGTCAGATTTACAATCATTATTCAAATAAAATAGCATTTAATCACCAATGCAATGACATCCACAAACTTTATATACTGTAAAGATAAGAGAACCAGCTTCTTTTAATAATCTCACAACAAATCTAGCTGCTGACTCTGCTCCGCATCAAACAACATCTTTAAGATGCGCAGGTGCGAGAGACGCGAGGAGAGAGAGACGCGAGGAGAGAGGAGCAGAGAGAGACAGAGAGGAGCAGAGAGACGGAGACGCGAGGAGCAGAGAGAGACGGAGACGCGAGGAGAGAGAGACGCGAGGAGAGAGGAGCAGAGAGAGACAGAGAGGAGCAGAGAGACGGAGACGCGAGGAGCAGAGAGAGACAGAGAGGAGCAGAGAGACGGAGACGCGAGGAGCAGAGAGAGACGGAGTCGCGAGGAGAGAGAGACGCGAGGAGAGAGAGACGCGAGGAACATAAACAATAATTTAAACAAGTTGCAGAACTCTTGAGCAGTGTTTGAATCAGTGTTTTTCGGAAAAGCACTACTTTGCCGGTATCTGTCAATGTTCAACATAAAACACAGATTAACAAACTCCTCCCCCGCAGCCGGACTAACCTCGTAAGTCCAGTGGTGGTCTCCCAGTCTATATTAATTCTTTCTTTGTTTGAAAGTCCAATTGAGAAAAAAAATCTTCATTCAAATCATCCATTTTCCAGCAAAAGAAATAGCATTTTGGGCTGATTGTTTGTTAGCAACTCTGGTATGAACTTTATGCTCACTATCACCCCTAGCGGTGAGGCACAGATACCGCCTGCCTCACGCCAAGCTTTTTCCTTGTGTGTTCATCTACGATCAAAAGACTTAAACTAAATATAAATTGTACACACATACGTGCAATACACTACTAAACACTAAGAGGAGTTTAAAAAATGTTTTTAAAGCAGGATATTTGAAACAAACGGTGATATATCAACTGCACGAGCTGAGTGCACTCAGACACACACACACACACTGTGAGGGAGCGGTCTGGGGTGAGGCACGCAGGAGCGCTGCCTCACCTCGTCTCTTTGAATAGGAATAACGGGATTTCGGCGATTTTGACTTCAGAAATGATCAAAACTGATGGGAACCGTGCCGAATATACATTAAAAGCATAGGACAGTGGATATAAATTATATATTTAAACTAAAATAATTATTAGTTTCCAATAATGGCAGGTGAGGCTCTGCCTCCCCTGCCTCCCCTGACTGCACGTCCCTGCTGTTTACATCATTCTCATCCACTTCATCAGCCTGTATCCTGAAAACAACATTGTTTACACCAAATTTACGAAAAATTATAATATTGTGAATAACGTACCTTTTTCCATCATCGTCACTGCCAATTGGGAGTACTTCGTAGAAATCCTCCTCTAAAAAAAAAAAAAAAAAAAGTAGAGTGAGTGAGGCAAAAAGAAATAAGGAAAAATGTTGATATAAACTACAGTGTACACACAATATAAATGCTGCTGTGTGGGAACAACTGGATTAGCCTTTATTTCATATTGGGATCATTCAGATGCTAACAGGATAGATCACGTACCTTTCAGACAACGACTCTGCAATACTGGAAAGAGGTGGCATCACAAGTCGTTTTCTTTTAATATTTCTTCTTGGTGTCGACGTTGAAGAATCTGATCGTTTCTGATAGCTACAAATTAAACATAGAAGATACGTTATAATCATTAGAATGACGTTTAACTACACAACGTTGCACTGACTTGCAGGAGTTTGCAGCCAAAAAGCTAGTACAAGTAACATGTCAGAAAAAGTAGCGCTAGTAATAACGTGTTTTGGGGTACCGTGATTGTTAGCTGCTACGTGAAAACCAATAAATCCATGTAGTGACAATTGAAGAACGAACAATAAGTTTCATTTGACTTGAAATGAAACATGGACTCGGTCCACAGTAGAAGTGTGCCAGCTAGCTGAGCCGACATATTGCTAGCGAATGGTACGCTAACGTTAGCTTTGATGCATGCTAATTGACACTATGCACATTCTACTGTTGCAGAAAGACAGTGGTATTGTTTTTCACTAGCGACACGTTTAAAAGTGGCATTAAAAAGTGTTCATTACCTGTTCAAGAGATACATCGCCAACTCAGGGTCAGTTTTAAATCCCTTCAAAAGCCGCAGGTCCCTCCACCTTTGAAACGCCGCTCCAAGATATATTCTCCGGTGGTCACGAAGGCGTCTATCTGCCAACTTTGTCCCCGGACTTTTCTTTTGTTTTGATGTAGGAGCAGCTTTAGATGGCAATCGTGGTATTGGCAATTTTGGGTTTACGGAGCTTTCCGCCATGATGTTGTGTTCGCTGGCCGAAGATGCGCGTCCTTGTGGCCATGCACGGTTTTGTGCATGCGCATGGACCTTGACTGACAGTCGCCGCTGCAGGAAGTAAAAGCCTATTGGCTAGCTGATCGAGCCTCGATTTTCAGTTTGTATAGGGGTCTATAGGCCGAGGGCGGGACTTACATACATCGATGTATACAAATTACCAATGGCACTCGACCATAGTAAAAGACAGCGCAATCCCTTTTTCACAATTCAAAAGAATAATACATAAACCAAGACTTTCCAGAAACTCCGGATATTCGCTTTAAGCTGTGGTTGTTTAGTTTTAGGGGAAAGGAATGTTGCGCTAAAAAAAGATATGCAAGATTTACGTATCTCCACAGTGAATCATCACGTTGCGTGACTGTGTCCTGCTTCACTCACAGCGCAGCTACCAACCACACTGACAGTAAGTAAAACACTTGTACAATATAGACCAATAAATAATAAACCATAAACAAACTGAATCTGACAGCCAACAAGCAGGCAGACGGGGGGCCACACTTTCAGGAATGATCAACATGGCTGAGTGTACATAAAACAAAACATAAATAAAAACTAGTTGGATATGGGTTGTGCAAAGCTGGATCAAGTTGGAATAACACCTGAGATCAATTCATTAATACATACTGTGGCTAACTGGCGGTTGGTTTGCCACAGCATTTCTGACATTGAAGCCGGAATCTAAGTGGTGTGTGGAAGTGTCTCCTATCAGTTGTGAGAAGCCATCACGTACACAACAAAACTATACAGTCAAATCTCACCTGCAGTCCTTTTATGCTTCACTTATGCTGGATCCAAGCCAGTGTTTCATCTCACGCCTCCTTTAACTCTCCCACTGTTTTGGAGAAGTAGTATTTTTAGAAATCAGTTTGTTGCATGTTCGTGTTTGGCTCCCTGGTGGATACATTTCCTTTCACTCTGTCTATACATATGAAGAAAACCCACGGATATGAAAATCTGTGCTTCTCTTAAGTGCACAAACAGCAAGAAAACAATAGAGCATACACAAGCCACAAACTCAAATAGAAATGGATGGGTTCACTTGACAGGCGGTTCAAAGTCCATACATCAACAGTTGATTACGGTATGCAGTGTTAGGAATCATGTTTTATGCCTGTTGTGTTTGGTAAGAGCTCAAAAATGTCAACATAGATAATGTCATTTTTCATCTAAGCCCAGAGGCCTTTTTTCCCGAAAAAGCTATAATCTACATTTACTAAGGTTTCATATAGTATTTAGCCAGATATGTGGCCAAACTTGGTACCAAATTACCTGGTGGACCTTGGGGATTGCTGTGGAAGTGAAAAAAGATGATAAATTGTATTGGTTGCCAATAAAATTAGGTTGAAACAGACAATTCTAACTTCCGCCTAAAAAAAAAACACATTTTCCCTCAAAAAAGCTTTTTCCCTGTCTGTGGTGTAGCAAATAAGAACAAAAATTGACAGTTCCCGATATTTTGGACCAGTCCAGCAAAAATTGTGCCAAATAAACAAACCACTGCAGAGTTGTACATGGAATTTGAAAAAAAAGTCCAGGCGGAATCCAACTGTGCCAAAATTGTGCCAAATGGCACAAACATGTCTGTAGAGTCATCGAGATAAACTTTGGCACCCGGTTCCCTAGCAAGAAGCTCTACAACCTCCTCGCGTGTATAACGCTGTTTTGCCATTTTTAATTTCGTCAAAATTCCGAGTACCTGCCGTGCGTAAAGGCTTTGCGCACAGCCTCCTTCTGCCCCAACTATACGCATGTACACGCCTCCGCGGTACTTTGGCCAATCAGGGCATGTCATACCATTTTGGAAAGAACACACCTTCGGCTATCAAAAACCATTGAAAACGTATTGATGGACAGCACCTGTGGCCAATCACAGGAAGAGATACACAGAGGTACGTGACATGACGCACGGGTGCAGCCTATCACAAAGGGCCTCTTACAGAAGGAGGAAGTAACTGGTATCTGCCAGGTCGCTAGAAAGCCTCGCTATGAGGTTGAATACAAGAAAAAAACGGACTTTTATTCCTATGGAAATGACTTGTGATGAAAAAACAGCAAAAGTAAGTCGACTTTTACTTCAACGCTGATGTTTTACGGCTTTGTTTTCTGGCATTCGTCTGCGGCTTGGTCAGCGAGTGTTAGAGGTAGCGTTACCAGCCTCATAGCGTTGTGTTCAGCTCGGAGAGGGCTTTCTAATGGTGTGCTGACAGCAGGGCTACTTATTGTTTTGAGGGCGCTTGTGACGCCAAAGCAAACATTTGATTCGACATGTGCTTTATGACGATTTGTCAGATTGTGGTTTGTTGTTTGAACCTGGGTCTGTTGAACTGAAATTGAAGTGGATAATGTTGTAGCTGAGAGTTGTCCAAACACGAGGATGTGAAACATGTGATTGTCAGTTGTTGTATCTGTCAGCTACGGTCCGGACAAGCTGCAGCAAGGGGGGGCGGACCCCAAATGGGGTGCAATCGGGTTGAAGAGGTTAAGAAACATGGACAAAAAGTAGTGAGCAATTTCTGGCTGAAAAATAACTCTTGTCCACTGAAATATGGCGATGCAACCACAAGTTTAATAGTAAAGTCAGGATTCCAATAGCCTGGCCTTAGCCATCTGTAAGCTCCAGTCAATTATAATTCCCCTGCATGTAACATCTGGGTCTAGTCCCAGTGTCTGCAATAGGGCACTGTCCGGTTTCCGAAATGTGCTAAAAATAGCTCCGATGACTGCGCATGCGCGCATGTTTCGGACAAACATTGTACGACTCCGTTGAGTACTACTGTGTTCTCCACATACGCGTGTGTATTTATTTGGGCTAAATCATTGAATCATGGTGACAACAAAACACTGCAGTTATGGTGCTTGTCGGAGCGATTTCAGATACTCTGAAAAGGACTATGAAAGTAACATTCAACCCGTTCGTGAAACCAGACCAGGACCAGATCAGACCAGGCCAAGTGCAAGAGGTGGGTTCGGGCTTGTGGTCGGCAGAATTTCTCTCATGAAAATGTTAAAAAGGACTCATATTTGTTCAAAACACTTAGTCTGTGAAGCTGGACCAACTGTGGAGCATCCAGATCCAGTCCTAGCTCTACGTTTAGCTGGGACTGGACCTGGGCCGCTGTGTCAGGTCCGTCTGAGCTCTTCCGAATGTAGTTAGCACAAACTTTCTCTTTATACCATTTACCCCCTTCAATCCATATTGGTATTGTTTGTCCTAATCCAGAATGTATACAATTCTCACACCTGAAGAAAGAAGGGATTTTTTCATCTTTGTGACTTTCGGAAAATAAGTACAGACAAAGCGCGTCGGGGTCCGCTTATTATACGGCTATGTACCAACTGTACACACAAAATTGTCAGTTTTATTAATGCCGAAAGGTTTATTTAATGACTGCAAAGAAAATAGTTCCCAAAGGTTTTCCTGTGGCAGGCGAGTAACAGTGAGGCTAGTTAACCTACTTCAAAAAAGCGATCGCTTTAGTCGCATTAAAAAAGTATTTTTGTCATGAAAACCTTAACAGATTATTCTGAAAACCTCCGTGCACGTGTGTTACAAATGTATGTATAATGTATTCTCTGATTAACATTTAAATGTGTTGATTGATTGTCTTTTGCGTTTACTGAGTGTGGCTAGCTCCGATAGTTTTTCTCTGCAGAGAAAGTAGTGGCGTAGCCTGTTGTGACCCCATGGATCTATTATAATATCGGCTGACAGTAGCTAACTACAGTACCTTGCGAAAGTATTTGGCCCCCTTAAACCTTTCAACATTTCACCACATTTCAGGCTTCAAACATAAAGATATAACATTTTAATTTTTTGTCATGATTCAACAACAAGTGGGACACAATCTTGAAGTGGAACGAAATTTATTGGATCATTTTAACTTTTTTAACAAATAAAAAACAGAAAAGTGGGGCGTGCAATATTATTCGGCCCCTTTACTTTCAGTGCAGCAAACTCACTCCAGAAGTTCAGTGAGGATCTTTGAATGATCCAATGTTGTCCTAAATGACTGATGATGATAAATAGAATGCACCTATGTGTAATCAAGTCTCCGTATAAATGCACCTGCTCTTTGATAGTCTCAGGGTTCTGTTTAAAGCGCAGAGAGAACCATGAAGACAAAGGAACACACCAGGCAGGTCCGAGATACTGTCCGGATTTGGATACAAAAAGATTTCCCAAGCTTTAAACATCTCAAGGAGCACTGTGCAAGCAATTATATTGAAATGGAAGGAGTATCA